TGTAGAGAAACAGACTGACATTTGATACACTGTGATCCATCAATGGCAAAAGATATTGCAACGGTTAATAAATCAAATGTGAGCCTACAGTTAAGACAGTATAAGCATATCATGTACCAACTGTTTGTTAAATACACATGAAAAATATACAAACTGATTCCTTGAAAGATAGTTTCTAATTGTTCGTATGTTCATTTCTGTCCCCATTCCTAACACAATCCAGTTTAGCTTACAAGAAATTAGTCATGATATCTTTATATTTCATGGTTTTTCATCAGCTGCTTACAACGAAATATGTATTAGAATTCTATATATATAGTTATTATTGATAACCTTCGTCATTCCAATTATTTACATTCATTTATGTCAACTGTTCCACACTATTTATTATCTCAGTGTAGAATTCTAACACATATTTGGTTGCAGCTGATGAGAAACCACGAAATATAATGAATCCATATTATTCTGCATCAATGTTTGCTCTGGCTTTATTTAAATTCATGAAGGGAACTAGTCGCACTATATCCTTACTCTGATAAATACTTTAACTAATTTCGATCTGTAATTCTGTACCACGATAATTTCCAGAGAAACTTTGTTAGGACTCATCGATTTCAAATGTTATGTGTTTGTCACAGTTCTCAGTAGAATTTGATGAACCTATGTCATTTCATATCATTGATGTATCTTAGTAAACTAAAGATCAATTAAACAGTTCTTTGAAATGTTCCATACATCATTACAGACCTTTATTTTGATTAAGGAATTTCCCCATACGGAATTTCAATAAACTTACATTTATCTTATTCATTTCATTTATAGGCTTATGTAACTATTCAATACCGCCTATGATCATTATTTATCAACAAAATGATCGTATTTAATTATCCACAATTCGTCAACAGTTAATCAAATTCATCTGACCTGAAGATCAGTGGAGAGAATTTGTAGCTAAGGCCGGTAATTTCGTTGAAATTTCATTATCCTAACCTGGTAAATTATTATTATAGTTCGCTTCTATTTAAAGTTTGTATTAATGGTTTTTTCTTTAAACGACAATATGAATTCTTTACCATTAAATCAATTAGCAAAGTAAACGTCTTTTCAGTAAAATTATCTAATTTCGTTATTCGTTACATTGTGTTTTTCAACTCACCCGTTTTTTCCGAAAAAAAATTATTGATTATCCGAAAATATTCCGATTATCAATAGGGGGGTTGGAATGATCAAACGGTGTATTTTTCACTTAGTGATTGTATATACTTTATTAATAGTCATTATAGTTAATATGTAAGGATATCACATGAAACTATGCACTAAATTTATTAGATATTTACAACAACAACAACAGAAAAATGTAAACCTATGCTAAAATGGATCACATGAAGAGTGTGTGATAAAAAGAATTTTACGAGTCTGTGAATCAGAATGATGGTTATGTTCAGGAAAAAAAAATTAATGAAGAATTAGATATGCAAGAAAATTAATAAAGAGACTTAGTATTATAATGAATAATCAGTGATTTCTATATTTAAAACAAATAATTTCAGTTTTCAGATTTAATTAAACTAAACATGTAATTGGAAAATTTGGGCAGTCTGATGGGGATGATCAGTGGAATACAGGACATGTGTCCTGTTCAATTTAAGACTTGTCATCTGGATGTCACTTTGTCTCAATGTTCGTGTTCATATGGGGACTTACACCCACTATCTTTCACTCCAAACACCTAACATAGTGTCCACTCAGCTATCGAGTCCAGGAATAAATGGCATATGAATCTATTGTAGTCATCAGCTACCACAGAGTCGCGTTTCCTGACGTTGCTCCATTGCTTCGTACATTAGACTTCAGGAATTTGTGAAGTGCTGCCCTAAAATAACCACCTGTTTAGGTTTGAGTGCTTGAGTAGTGTCCCAGCTTAGATTATCGTTAGTTAATAGATTTATTGATAACACAGTGGACACGATAATGTAAATAAGACATAAGAGATTGGTTCCATAGCCAGTTAATTTGAGACTAAATCGCAAACATCTACCGAAAAGCTTTAATATTCAAATATTTCTAAGAGATTCTCAAGGTATTGTCTAAGTAGGAACTGATACATTCAAAGTTCTTCATAAAGATTTCCGGTCTGAACAAGTAATATGGGATTAACTTGGCCCATGTACTTGGAAAAGCAATTCATTTGTATGACTTACATCTTTTTCTCTAGATGATCTTATCATGTCCATAACAGTTCACCACTCTTCAACTAGTATTAATGTTAGCAGGTTTTCTTTCACTGATAGCTGTTATAAATGATCAATAACTTACCGGTTTTATTCAAACATGTAGTTACGTTTTTTCTCATAGACCCTAAATCAGTCGAGTAACATGGCTGAGGATCATTCACAGTGATGTAGCTGCATCTCTCATTCTTTTACTAAATATTCAGTTTTATTATTAACTCTCCATTCTCCTACTTTTTGTCCCTTGTGAACAGCATTTCTGAAAACATTAAACTAACTAAGGAATTAGAATCAGTTGACCACAAACTAGCATTTCTAGATTGTTTGGTTGAACTTCGACTCAATAATAAGAAGTTATAAAAAAAAAGTTTACAGAAAATCAACACATTCCGAGAGATACTTGGATTTTAATTCAGCCCATTCACAGAGCACGAAAATTAATGTGGTAAAAGATCTAATGAATAAAAGTACTAAGATTGTTACAGACAAGTAAGACCAACGAACCGAATTAAATAAAGTATTTTCTACTCTTAGGGATAACAACTACCCAAAAAGGTTTTTAAAGAAGATTATTAAAAATGAAAGAAAAATGAAACTAGAAAGTATACGAAAAGAATGGAAGTACACCGTAGTCATACCTTATCGTAGTGAAACATCAGAAGAAATCAAACGGATTCTGAACAAACATGATATAAGAGTGTATTTTAGAGCGAATAACACATTAAGATCGACATTAGTGAAAGTTAAGGACAAGTTAGCAAAGGAAGAACAACAGAACATTGTGTATGAGATTCACTGTCATGACTGTAATGCTACCTATGTTGGAGAAACATCCAGGCAATTGAATGTAAGATTGAAGGAACACAAACAATGCTTGAAAAATGTTCCAAAATCCTCGGTTGATTTAAAGAAACTTGAAAATAAGTCAGCGATAGCGTTACATGCGTTAGAAACAGGACACAAGATTAATTTTGAAGGGACCAAAATACTTCAGAAAGGTTTTAACATCCATAAAGAAAGATTGACGGCAGAAGCGCTGCATATATGGGCGAACAAGAACAGCCTGAACCGAAAAGATGGTATTCAACTGGCAACTACCTGGCAAATTTCGTTTGACAAGTAAATTTGAAACCTATCTCTTGTTTAAACCTGTTTTTTATATCACATGCATCGTTATAATTTTTAAAAGAATTCAATGAGTTTTTTAAACAATACAATTAATGTATACGAATATTCGTCAAGATTAGAACGAATAGTTTGAGAGAAATTGGGAGCCGAGTATAGAGAAGTCATTATATGTGAAAATTATATTTGAAATATACAATTAATGTTTTCACATGTACATCGATGTTTCATTATCAATTTTTCATCCTTGAAATTTATTTATTCCTTCATATTAATCTCTCACACATACATACCTACACACTCACACACATACGGTTTGCTACTCAGTTAAGTATTTCCATGTAGTTGATTTCTTCACATGATTTGTAGTTAACTGACTCATTTTATCCTATTTTACAAAAAATCAACACCCAAATATGATTGGTTTAACACAGTATAATCCTGATTGTTAAAAGCTATATATTTCTTTGATAATTTTGATTTTGATTATTACCCTGAAGAAGTCCAGACAAGTTAGCTGGACGAAACGTTGAAATCAGTCAAATTTCAATCGCTGAGAATATTTCAAATATAATGACTTCTCTATACTCGGCTCCCAATTTCTGTCAAACTATTCGTTCTAATCTTGACGAATATTCGTATAATTTATGGCTCATGGTTAGATTACTGATACAGTTATAATTAATTATCATCCTTTGGTTCTCAACTCATAAACTATTACTACCTCTTAGTTCACTGATCGGGAAGTGACAACTTGGACCAGTACACTTATTAGTAGTGGGTTCTGTGGAAGTGACTGACTGATCATAGGTTGGTTGAGTCAATAAATTTGAAATTAGAATAACTAATTCACAAATGGATAATTTATTTATCCAAACAGTATTCACTAGATCTTCTTAAAATAGAATAAAAACGGTCAAAAATCGAATCCAGATAAACTTTAACAACTCTAATCCATTATAAATCTTAGAAAGTATCAGTATTTATGTTGCCGCACTCACTATGCATTAAATAAGGGAACTACACCACGTGAATTGCTAAAGAAACTTGAGAACTAAAGGGGAATTCATTAAATGTTGAGCACTTTTTGTGGAAATAAAATATCGAGGTAAAAGGCTCTTTCCTGATAGATTATTATCCCAGTGATAGCCATGAAGACTGGAAACAATGATGCAAGGCCAGTACCACCAATGATTTCCCTTATTGATGTAAACATTGAACGCATGTGATATTTTTCGCGTTTTCGTCACTGAGTTATCGTCTAGATGATTGTCGATCAAATGAACACAATATAGTCTATGAAAACTACTACAGTAAAACATATGGGTTTAGATAATTAATATTAGTGAGCCTAGTTTCTGGGAACATTGGAATATACTATGAACGACAGAAGCGAAGATGGGACAATTGAACTTCCACAAATTGGAAGTATTTCGAAACAGATAGGATCAACACACCCAAAATTATGTCAAAGAAACTTTTATGGCATCCATTTGCCCACTTACTGAGGAGACTACATATACTACTGACTAATGTGTGACCGAGCATCCTTATACATTATTACCATGAACGTTTTGTTACAGGTAAAAAAAAATTAGGGGATGATCAGCATAGTTCAATTTCAACTAATCAATATCGATTTTTAACCCACTCTAATTTTATTAAGGGTAAAACCTGACCGATTAAAATGTCACTTTGCTGAACAGTAACAGAATTATTTAAATTATGTATCTTCAAAACTTTCTGGGTATGAAAGATAGCAAGTTACACCAAAATGATCAGAAAAACAATTCTGAAATTTTTGTAATTGAGTCTGGGGATTTAGACATTTTTAGCTATGAATTATCAACGGTGCTTAGATTACAATTTCTCCCTATATATGGATTACTCGGTAGAATTTCACAAAATAAACAACCAAAAATAATCACAAGCAATGGCTTTTTTAAACGGAATAAACAAATAAAGAATCTATTTCTTACTTAGATACCATCAATGTAAAACAGATAACATTTGCGATGCATTTCATCTCATCTCTACATAAAGAAAACACCGTTAATGTGTTTGTTTGAATTTTATGTTTAAGAAAATTGTGACCTAAAGCACTGAGCATAATGGTTCTAAAAAAATAATTAATACAAAATGTTTATGAGATTACTGAAATTAGAAAGGCAGTTGTCCAAAATAGATTATTCTCCCCTTCCCATCCACCATCAAAAATAAAAAGAAACTAATAGTGGGTGTTTTACAGAGATTCGTAGTGGAGTTTGTTCATTAATTTAAAAAAATGTCAGATGATGAGAGAAGTGGAGGTTTAAAATAAATCAGGATCTGAAAAAAGTATTTTCAACAAAATAATACGGAATTAAATTGAGATTCTGTTAGGAATGAGATAAATTGTTTTGAGATGAAAAAAGGAACACATATACGCACACTCCCTAGTAGATCAACGCTGACGTAGCAACAGTATTAATGCCACAAGTACCATCACCTCGATACATACGGAAGTAACCCTGAAAGTTAAAGTAAACGAAAATATACATACACAAAATAGTATACATGAGATTTATGTATATTTTGATCTAAAAAAGAATTTTTACACAAATTTAGAAGATTATCAGATGCATTAAAAAAATAATTCAAGTAGTGTGAGCTAATTATCAACAACGTATAGTTTAAACATGAATCTATTATGTTATTGTAAATTATTGACCATGTAAAGTTTTATTCTGTTGGCTCTTAATCAGAAATATTGCGTGAAAGCACCATCAAATTGAGGTAGGTAGTTTAGAATTTTAATTTTCAACTTGATGATTGAAAGTTGGATGATTCAATCATTAGGGCATACGAATCTACAGAAACGTTCTTGGCAATTTAAAAAAAAACACTGAAAAACAATGATCACCCATTAAGTATTGTAGTGAGACTATCCTTTAGTAACAGGATGAAAATAACAGTGCTATTCATTGGCATAATATGTTTTATATGCGCATTTTATATATGTACTTCAACAGAATTCCACGTCAAGTCGAAGTTTACAAACTGTAATGAGTGATTCAAAATAACGGTTTATATTACAACTTTGATCGTATCGACGAATTAACATAACTTAAGAAATATCAAAAGGTTTCATTTTATGTGCTGATTTGAATATTTTTACACATAAATAAGTACAACCAGGTGAAATAACTACTGAAATATGATGGGATCATCAGTACAGGCTGATGTATAATTGATCAGTATAAATTCATCTTGGATGGAAGAAACAGAGGGAGACTTCTTTTCAAATACTCGATATAAAAAGTCCAGTTTCTTTGACATTTTTAATAGGAAATATGATGGTTTCCTCAGTGCGATAACCGACATTAAGGTAAGATATGCTACACAGATTTGTCTGTTAATAAGACGAGAGAATGGCTCGACAAACAGTAAAGGTGGTTAATATTTATCTGAAATAATGAACCTATTTAGCTGAGAAAGTTCGTCGAAAAGTAAAGATTGTAGTGTCGGGGATATATCAAGTCCATATACCTTATTCTAGCTACTGGACAGGCCAATTTATCTGTTCTTGTTGAGTTACGTTTTGACCTTGATAATTATTCGCTTATCGACCTTGACTATTTTTATATGAGCGTATGAGTGGTGTGCACTTTTTATCGCATTACTCATCACATGTCTGTAGCTTGTTTTCGTGTGACTATAAATATTGATTAACGCTTGACTGAATTGAGTTGGCTCACATGCCTTCTCCACTGCACGTCATTTCGCTTCGCTCTCTTTTCTTCATTCCCTGACTGCCTGTTCAAATGAATGAGTGAGTGAAATATACATATTCAAAATCCATTCTCGTATTTGACTTATTTAATTCCGTCCAATGAACTAACGTGATCTAAGTCGATAATTATATACGAGGATTGACGATATATATATATCTCAATAGCAATCGGAAACGATCTCACTGGAGTCATATTACGGACCACTAAAGTATATATAGGTTTTTATCAATGGTTGTGGGGTTATTTAGCCAGGATAGTCTTAATTGTTTTCTATGTTTAATCTCTTGATTCAAGAGATCGCCTATATTGCATTGCCATCTCTTGGTGTTCGACTTATATAGGATTGTAGCTTTGTTAGCAGTTTGTATGATTACTCTTTCTACCTGACTTAGAGTATATCCATTTTGAAGTAAATTATTTAGCATATTTGGGTAGTCTGTGGTCAAGGCGTGTATCGCCTTACGTTGTCTTCGTTTGGATTTCTTATTAGTGTTAGGAGTCTGATTACTATTTAAGTAATTTAGCTTAAGTATGGTTGTGATCATGTAATAATCGGAGTTAGCCTCCATAGAACGACTGTCGTTTATGTCAGAGACCATTAACTTAGAGTTATTTTCTGTTAATACCAAATCTATCATATATTCAGTCTGAGTTTTAGGGTGTACCCAGGTGGAAGTCTTGTGTGCTGGTTCAGTAAGGATTGGTTATTAATGACGAAGCCAACACCAGTGTTACGGTAACCGTTGATGTCAGGATTAGCGACCGTACCACGTTGAAAGCACCGGTTTTTCGTCCGATGTCAAGATTGGAGTTAAAGAAGGTAGTGTTTTTGTTTTATTTGATGGTTTTGGAGACCATCCTAGTTTTCGTAATCACTGCTATGTGGTACTTGCGTTCGATGATTTGTTCTACAATCTGTTGGAGTTTGCACTCTTGCAGGCAACCTTGGACATTCCATAAACTAAGTTTGAGTTTTTGGTGGTTTTATGCATTTTCTTGTCTTTTTTTGAACAAGTAGCAATTGTACTATGATTCTTTGTAGTTTTCGTAATCAGTTGTGGGTATAGGCGGAGTGGATGATTAGGAAGTTCTCTGCCATCCGGTTTACCGCTCACCCCATATCTTGTCACCCACAACACAATTTACCTAAAACTGAAACTAAAACCCCAATAAATAAAAATAAGTCCATAAATAATGTAAATAAATGCCCGCATCCTGGCTGCAATAAAAGCCTACCAACTAAGAAAGGCATAATCAATCACTTCTATGTAGTACATAGGTAGTCAGCAATCACCGAACATGAAGTAAAATCAAAGACAAGAAACCTGCAAAGACAACTATTGAGCCCCGGTAGGTGTACCGTGATTCGATGTAGCCTCTTCTCCAGCTGAAGAAGACATCAATATTTATAATCACACAAGAATAAACTACAGACATGTGATGAATGAGATAAAAAGTGTACACACACACGCTAATATAAAAAGTCAAGGTTGATAAGCTAATAATTAACAAGGTCAAAACGTGACTCAACAAGAACGGATAAATTGGCCTGTCCAGTAGCTAGAATAATATATATGGACTTTACATATCAACCGACAGTACAAAACTAGTTGATTTAATGTAATTTAAGTAGTAAATAATTTCAGTAAGACGCTTTATATCAGTTATGCAAGGGAAAAACTTACTTTTTCACCCCATTCAACACCCCAACTGTTTTTTACAATCCAGAATGGCTCATTTTCTTCGGAAACTCCATAACCAACAAGTAAAACCGCATGATCAAGCAGATACTTTGAACAGAAGATCCACCATGGATGACTAATTCCATGTCGATAAAACTAAATTGAATTGTGGTAGATAAAATAAATATCATAGGAATCAAAAGCCTAAAATCCATTTACAATAATTGTAGTGTACAGTTGTTGAAACTTACTAGAAGTTGAGAACCATAATACATCAGTTGTTTTGTACTTAAATTCTACTTCTTAAAATTCTGAGTAAGCCCAGTTACCTGTTGATTGAATGTAATTATATTCAGTCAGTTAGCTACAACGTAGGACCAGGCACATATATGCATCGGTCCAGGTTGCCATACCTCATTAGCACAGCAAGATGAACACCGGATTCACAGGAGTGGTTGGGTAAAAGGTGGTAATATATAGGAGAAAGATTGCATATAGAGATATAGTACAAGAAGAAAGAATTAGTTAGTAGAAAGAGAGATATGAAGTGATTTTAATCTCTTAGTTTAAGGGAAGACAGGGAGTGTATACACCGACGCCATTGTGATCGATTCTGAGCCATGTCACCAAGAGTCTCCAACCATCGGTTACGATAGTCGTTCTGACTTCAACCAAGTAGTCTGCATCTACTAACATGGCTCACACTAGAGGTTAGTGACTTCAAGCACTGATGCCACGTTTTAGTTTGGCCGCCCCTAATTCTCTTCCAACCATCTCTAACACCCGTTAGCATTGCACGTCGTGGTAATCGGGGTTCAGGCATACGTAACACGTGGCCCAACCATCTCAGTTGATGAAGATTAGCAACCTCATCAACTGATTTACCATCATTACCTAATACCCTGCGTCTAACCTCACTATTACTTACCCGGTGATCCCAACAGACGCCAGCAATATTTCTAAGGCATCTGTGGTCAAACACTAGTAGCTTAGAAGTGTCTGCTACTCTTAGTGACCATGTTTCGCTGCCGTAAATTAGAACAGAACGGACTGCGGTGCAGTATACTCGTCCTTTAATTGATAGACGGAAATCTTGCCTTCGCCAAAGGTGACGTAAGTTGGCAAAAGCCAAACGAGCTTTTCGAATCCATGCTGAGATTTCGTCTGATACCAGCCCATTAGGGCTGATCAGACTTCCAAGATAAGTGAAGTTGTCAACGCGTTCGACTACTTCACTCCCTATCCTTAGTTCAGGTGTTGACGCAGGCCAGTCCTGAAGCAACAACTTGCATTTAGAGGGAGAGAAGCGCATTCCAAACATTCTGGCACTGTTGCTTAGTGCTATCAAAAGACTGCATTTTATCAGCGTCTTCACCAAACAGGACTATATCATCTGCGTATTCTAAGTCGATAAGTGGACCTTGGGAGGAGATCAATGCCCGAGAATTCAGTCGACGAGAATGTTATTTCCATCAGTAGGTCTATGATGAAGTTAAACAGAAATGGAGAAAGTGGACAGCTTTGACGGACACCACCTGAGGTTGCAAAAGTAGATGACAGTTCGCCATAAGCTCTGACTCGACTAGTAGTGTTCGAGTAAAGAGCCTTTACAAGGTTTATGTATTTCTGGGGTACGCCTTTCAATGACAGACACTGCCACAGAATCTCGCGGTCAACAGAGTCAAATGCTGCTTTTAAGTCAAGAAAGACCACCATTGTCGGACGTCGATAAGTATGCCTGTGTTCTAGAACCTGACGAATGGTGAATATTTGGTCGATGCAGCCACGACCAGGTCTGAAGCCAGCTTGGTTCTCTCGTGTTTGCAGTTCACAAGTCTTAGTTAGGCGTCTGATAATTATCGAGGCTAGTATTTTAGATACTATACCTACTTCAATGTTCCATTCACACTGTCTGGGAATGGAGGGCAGTTGTAGAGTCGCTGAAGGCCAGCTGAACTGCTCCCTAAAGTGTTCCGCCCATCGTTCTAAACGTCTGGAGTAGGAGTAGATAAGAGTATCGTTTTTTTCCGAAATAACCTCACTTACACTTGACTTATTAATTCCAGTTTCTTTTATTAGTCTATAAAGCTGTCTTGTGTTCCCTATAGTCGCCGCCTTTTCCATCTCTTTTGCTTTCGTTGCCCACCACTGCTCACGGTCGTTTCTTAGACTTTTTCTTAACCTAGATCTGATTTGTTGTCGCTCTTCATCATGTTCGGAACCTGATGGGACGAGTTTGCGAGAATCCATCAGTGTGATAGACTTTGAAGAAATCCACTGGTTCTTTGTAACTCTTTGGTTTAAGTCACTAATAGATTTCATTGCTGTTTCCACAGCTGTTTGTATATCTTTCCAAGCAGCATCTGGGTCAGCCTCGTTTTCAGAACTACCTAAGTGTGACCTCAGTTGTTCCTGGAACCTACTTTTGGTTTTCTCGTTACTCAACTCAGTTCTAATTGGTCTTTTTTTTTAATGTGGCTTTTTTGCGCCCAGTGAGGCGCAAGCAGATGGGTGCCCGTATTAGGGCATGGTCGGAGTCCAAGCAGGTACTCCAGAATGAGCGACAATCTTCCACCGACCCTCTCCAACGATGACTGATGGCAATATGGTTTATTTGAGTCCATCGTTGGTTTGGTGTAGGGGGTCGCCATGTTAGACGATGTCTTTCCTTATGCTTAAAATTTGTGTTTGCTAAAAATAAGCGATTGTCTGAGCATAGTTGCAGCAGACGATCACCATTATCTGTTCGTTGTGCCGGTATACTAAAATACCCACCTAAATGCCTTTCTGTTTGGTTTAAACTACCTATCTGGGTATTAAAGTCACCTGCTACGAGTACTATGTCTGAACGTTTAGCTTTCTGAAGAAGTTCAGTTAGCTTTCTGTAAAATTCATCTTTCATTTTATCTGAGCTGCAGTCGATGGGAGCGTAGGCAGAAACGATAAAAAGGCAACGACGTATGTCCCTCTCCTTCCGAGTTCTTACGGAGCCATTTAGCCGAACAGCACATAGACGACTGTTGACGGGGATCCACTCTAACAGTGCTTGTTCCGCCCTCATGCTTAGTGCTATGCCTACATCTGCCAGTCCACGAGAACTGGCCATCGGGACCCCAGATACACGTAGGGTGTATCTCGTTGGCTCTCCGTTTTGCCGAGGTGAGGTCAAGTGAATGACCACACTGGGATCCTGTATGCGTGTTTCGGAAACACAGCATACATCAATGGTACGAGATTCTAGGGTTCTAGCCAAGGAAGTCTGCTAACCGATTTGACATAGGGTGCGTACATTGAAGGCTCCAATGTGTAGTTTGGAGCAAGGTTTCAGTAGACCTGGGACAGTGTTTTGAGCACTAGAATTGTTGGCTATGGTAACACTTGAGGGGGAAGCCGAAAAAAGAAGTTTAGAGTTTGAAGTTGATGTAGGAGGAAGAATAGGAATTGAAGAGGGAGGTTGATTATGAATACAGTGGTCTTGAGTGCTGTTAGAGGTATGAGGGTGGTTATCACTTCCCGGATGCCCACACCGTGGAAGGGTTCTTCTGGAGACACCTGAAAAGGAAATTGGATTAATAGCGTGACCGTTGTGTCCAAGGGACAACTGCTTGAGATCGGTCACACACGACCTTTTTATGAACAATTTTTGTGTTAGCTCCGTACTTGTTGAGACCTTACCGCCGGAGACGGATATCCGTGGGATAAGGCGAGATGTGAATTGTTAGGGTCGACCTTTTCTAACCCCACCCCTCTTTGTGGGAAGGCAGCATCACTGCCATGCTGGTTGTCTGAAGGAAACACCTTACTGCTGTCACACCTCTGTACAGTCAGCAGTACGACTTCGCCTTCAGACCTTGAGTTTGTTGCTTTTAGTCTTACCGCTCTTCAACCAACCTTTCTGACGTGGTAGGACCTTGAGGAACAGTTGTTCCAGTCAGTATAGCTCGGTTGCTTCATCACGATAGGCAAGCCCGACCACTACGTCAAGGTAGCAACAACGGTCGGGATGTAATTATATTATTCATGTTATACAAACCATTTAGCAGTGTGAATCAAAATATGTATCGGGAAAATGTCTGCCCGTACTATTGATTTCTCTCATGTTCTATGGCCCGTCAAATACCACGTGACGAAATCGCTGATCGGAATACTGTCCTTGTCCCTGCGCCAAGTCAATGACAATGTTATGTTTGAAGCGATTACGAATTCACCTAGTCTGTGAACTGAACAAGGACTCTGTGACCGAAGACCAATAGGCTAGCTATTCTGATGCGTCCCAGCTCTGCTAACTGGAGACAGAAGTTCATATTTGAAACGGGGAAATACATTCCGCAAGCAGCCAGAAGCACGAGCAACCACGACCAGTCTAGTTCGAAATACACTCTTTATATATTGGTTTGTACACCCATTTTTGACTAATAATCAGAATAAATCACATATATGAAAAATACTTCATACAAGAATATCATATATTATACAGAATAAAATGTCATAGGGGGGAACGAAACAAATACTATACCGAGTGATCATCAAATTGAATTAAACGGAATTAATATTGAATAGAAATCATAATGAGTAATCAATCTAATTTGACTTTTCATCTCGTCATAACAAAATCAACCAGCATTAGCAGCCTTGAGTGAACCCTGAGTACTTATCGGTCCTCCGTATAGTAGCTTTTCGCCTATCCCTCCCCGTTCAGTCCAGGACGCAAATATCAGTCTCCGCTATATGAACCGTATATTTCAGACATACGTCGTCTATATACAAGCACAGCAGGTCGCACCACACAATAAAATGAAAAATAAGGATTATACACGATCAAGTCAAAAGTGGCTGTGGGTGTGAAATTTATTTCTCATTCGGATACGATTTATAGTATAAATATTTCTTATTGTATAGGATGCTAGTTCTTAACGAAAATATCCTAAGTAAAAGTAAGAACACATCATACTAATCTACATTGTTTAGAATCAGTCAAGATTTGGTGAAACCCGAAGTTTCATAACACCGTAACTTCGTTACTTACTTACGCCTGTTACTCCTAATGGAACATAGGACGCCGACCATCATTCTCCAACCCTCTCTGCTCTGGGCCTTCTTTTGTAATTCCATCCAATTCTTGTTCATTTTTCTCATGTCTATCTCCATTTCCCAGCGTAATATGTTCTTTGGTCTTCCTCTTTTCCTTTAGCCTTAAGGATTCCATGTGAGGGCTTGTCTTGTGACGCAGTTGGGTGCTTTTCTCAATGTGTCCTATCCACTTTCAGCGCTTTTCCCTAATTTCTTCCTCCGTTGGGATCTGGTTTGTTCTTTCCCACAGTTGTTGGTTGCTAATAGTGTCCGGCCAACGGATCCGAAGTACTTTACGTAGACAACTGTTCATAAACACCGTAACTTCGTACTGATGATTTATTCTTACAGCAATTTCGGAACCCTTATTCAACTCTTGAAAATATTGTCGATATCGTATTGATGAGCGTCACTATCCACACAACATAAAACGGTTGTGAATAAGCCGTGACTAGCATTTGACTATATATATTCATAAAGCTGTAAAGTAGGGTTGCGTGGATTAATAAAACCAGTGTCTGAGCTTACTTTCAAGGAACTGAATTATTGAGGTTATTCAAAATTACTAGCACAACTTGATGAGTTATACATAATAACGAAGTTATGATCAACAACTCATAAAAACTTCATTACTTAACCAAGTACAACTAACGGCTAAAAAAAAATTTAACATTTTTTGTACACTAATAAATTCTATTTCCAAATCTGTTGATGAATTATATGTTTGAAAGAACAATATAGTAGAAAATATGGTGTATATATAAAGAAAACCAAAATATAATTTGAGGACTATACCTGTAAAAGCATCGCATTCATACCAACACTAATCGCTGAATTATGATAAAGCCATGCAGCAAGTTCTGTTTCATCTTGAGTTAAATTTACTGAACTATTAATGTAAGCTGCAACATTATCAGCTTTCAAATGACATTTCTCATTTTTAGCATCATAAGGATAATTATCTTCAAGCATTAAACCACCCATTTTTATGATTGATTCATAGGCATTCGACGGAAGACCACCATTACAACCATCATCTAAACCGTCACAGTCAACAAGTTGCTGTAATTAGCATGAATTATTGAGGAGAATAAAATATTACAATTAACTAGAAGCTAGTTGTAAGAAGTACAATTATAGTCAGAAAATATGAATACACTCTTTAATTGAATCGTATTTGATCCAATATCATTATTCTTATTGACGACGGTATGCTGAACATTTTCAGTACCAATTGCCCCCTGAATGCCCTGGTACGGCCGAGAGTGGGGAGAGTCCGCTCTCCCTCTCGAAATACTCTCACACGGCCACGCGTATACAGCCTCTGCCAGGGAAGTCCTACTCATTGCCTTCTCGTGGCGGGGGTGTTGTTTACGAAAATGAGAGGACGAAAAGCGAATGTCCGGCGCTTTAACCGGATTCCAAATCAATGGTGCACATGGGCTCCAGTATCCTGCGGGAACGAATGGCGTATGAACCAATCGTTGGTCACCGGCTACCATGGGACTGCATCTCCTTACGATGCTCCACTGCCTTGTGGGTTAGACCTTTAGGTCAAAGGCTCGGGGGGTGGCCCCCTAAGAAAACCACCTGCTTCGGTTTGGGCACCCGGGCAGTATCACAGCCCACACACAAACGATGAACTCTATGTCTTTGGCAACTACTTTCATCGCTCCGAAAAACAAAAACAATCAATCAATTCAAATAATTATCATTACTATTATTGTCATTATTGATACTATTATTATTACTATTATTGTCGTTATTATTATTATTATTATCATTATTATTATTATTTCCCACATTATTCACCCTCTTTCATACTTATACAGCGGCTCGGCTTTGGTGGAAATTCGACTGTATCTAAACGTTCTCGAGTCACTGTCCGGTTGAAAGTTGTATGTTACCATCGAATATGAGTACTGAAGCAGTTTTTCTGAAACCACGTGCGCCATTCAAACTGGCTGCCTTCAACGTTCGCACACTTATGCAGGTTGGTCAACAGATAGGGCTGGCTATGTCTTTGGAAAGTCTTAATATTGATGTTTGTTGTCTATCCGAGACCCGTATTCAAGACTCTAGCGAAGTACTACAAATTCGCTCTACATCTGTCACTTCAAAAAGCTTGTTTTACGTGCGCTTATCCGGGGACCCTGTGGCATCTTCGTCTGGTCTTGCTGGCGTTGGTGTCGCACTAAGCGCTAGAGCTGAGGCAGCACTAGTCGATTGGATCCCCATTAACAGTCGGTTATGTGCTGTTAGATTAGAAAGTTCCATCAAAGTGAGAAGAAATCGGCGTGAGAAACGATGTCTTTTCGTCATCTCCGCCTATGCCCCGACAGATTGCAGCCCGGATGCAATCAAGGATGAGTTTTACCACCAGTTATCAGTTCTTCTCCAGAAAGTGCGTTCGACAGATATTGTAGTACTAGCCGGAGACTTGAATGCTCAGGTCGGGCGTCTAGGCACAGAAGAGAGTCGTTTAGGTGGCCGATGGGGACTCGTTGGTCGCAGGTCAGATAACGGGGACCGTCTACTGCAACTTTGCACAGACCACAACCTGTTTCTGGCTAGCACTAACTTTCGGCACAGTCATCGTTGATGTGCCACCTGGCGTCCTCCCTCTGCATCTCAAGCCTGGACTCAGATTGATCACATCGCGATCAGCTACCGCTGGCGTGGTTGTGTACAAGACTGCCGCTCCTTTTGGAGTACCTATCTGGACTCTGACCATGCCTTGGTCTGCGCCAATCTTGCCTTACTTTTCAGTGGACAACGAAGTGAACGCCATCAACGGATTGATGTTAGCAAGCTGGTTGCAACTTCTGTTGCAAGTAAGTATCGAACCGAGCTAGCCTCTAGGCTAGCTACCACTCCACCGAAAAGTATAGATGAGCATTGGTTGCAATTGCATGACGCCATGAAAATGGCGGGAACAGTCAGTTGTGGGTTTGCGAAACGTCCCGCTTTTAAGCACTGGGTTTCTTCTGGTTCCTTACAACTCATTGAAGCCCGTCGGTCTACTCCGGGTAACCGTGAGTTTGACCATAAACGAAGGATTTTACGTAAGGAAATCGGGCAAAGCTTGCGTAAGGACCGAGAAGCCTGGTGGTCGATGCGTGCTAATGAGCTGGAAGCAGCAGCTGCATCTGGTAACTACCGGAAGCTCTTCCAACTCATCCGAGCCACTGGCAGCAAGAAGTCTGGTGTGAGTGAAACAATCTGCGAGGATGATGGGATGCCAATCACTAACATCCATCGACGTCTTGGACGATGGGCAGAATTTTTCGAAGGGCAGTTCAACTGGCCTGCTGCTCCGGCAACATCGGTCAGACTGTCCTGCCCTCCATGGCCGGTGACGACTGATCCACCAAATGAGGAGGAAGTCCGCAAGGAACTCCAACTCTTGAAGCGTTACAAATCACCTGGCCCAGATGACTTACCTCCGGCTCTTTTTAAAGATGGTGGTGACTTTTTGACTAAGGAATTGACGACGTTGTTCACAAAGGTTTGGGAACTAGAGAGTGTGCCAACGTCATGGAATGAGTCGATAGTTGTCCCTATCTTTAAAAAGGGTTCACGTCGTTCCTGTAACAACTACCGGGGGATAAGTTTACTTCCGATTGCGTCCAAGCTATTGGCTTCCGTCATACTTCGTAGGTTGTTCAAAACCCGAGAAAGATTGACTCGCGAGGAGCAGGCTGGGTTTCGTTCTGGTCGAGGATGTATTGATCATATCTTCACCCTCCGCCAAATGTTAGAACACCGCCATACTTTTCAAAGGCCAACAATCGTAGTGTTTCTTGACATCAGGGCTGCCTTCGATTCGTTGGATAGGACTGTTCTCTGGGATTGTCTGTTGAAGAAGGGTGTGCCTGAGAAGTTTATTAACATCCTAAAAGCCCTGTATAAAAACACCTCAGGCAGAGTGAGGGCATACAACCACCTCTCTCCATTGTTCCATTCGAGCAGTGGGGTTAGGCAGGGTTGCCCAATCTCACCATTCCTCTTCAACTTTGCCATCGATGACATTCTGGAAACAGCTCTGATGAATGTAAGTAATGGTGGTGTGGATCTGTTGCCTGGAGAAAGACTTCTCGACCTTGAGTATGCGGACGATATTGTCTTACTGTGCGATAATGCCCAAGGCATGCAATCCGCACTTAATCAGTTGGCAATCAGTGTCCGTATGTATGGTATGTGCTTTGCACCTTCGAAGTGCAAAGTACTTCTACAAGACTGGCAGGATTCTAATCCTGTACTCACCCTGGACGGTGAGCAGATAGACGTAGTTGAGAAGTTCGTGTATCTGGGTAGCTGCATAAGTGCTGGTGGGGGTGTGAGTGATGAGATCAATGCACGAATAGTGAAAGCCAGAGCGGCTTATGCCAATCTGGGCCACCTTTGGCGCCTTCGTGATGTTAGTCTGGCTGTAAAAGGCCGGATCTACAACGCGTCGGTGAGAGCAGTTTTGCTCTATGCTTGTGAAACCTGGCCTCTCCGAGTTGAGGACGTTAGACGACTCTCTGTGTTCGATCATCGCTGTCTCCGAAGGATTGCTGACATTCAGTGGCAACACCATGTGAGTAATGCAGAGGTTCGGCATCGTGTGTTCGGGCACAGAGATGATAACTCAATTGGTGTCACCATCTTGAAACACCGACTTCGGTGGCTTGGACATGTTCTCCGAATGTCGTCCCAGAGAATTCCACGTCGTGCATTATTTGCCGACTCTGGGACTGGTTGGAAGAAGCGGAGAGGTGGTCAGTGCATGACATGGTGTCGTGGCATGAAAGAAAGCTGCAAAGGACTGGCTTGTGTCGGTCCTTCACGACTCCCTGGTTGGGGTCCGAGAGATGGTGCTACACAGTGGCTAGAGACGTTATCAGATATGGCTCAGAATAGAAGCCAGTGGCGATCCTGCTGTAACCTTTTACTTTCTTCATAAAAAGTGGTTGTCTTCCTTAACTGAAAGATTTCTTCTGATTGTACCTCTTCGTCATTACTCTCCTTTTCTTTTGCGTTCCTTAGTTTTTTTTTTTCTTTCTACTTCTCTTCGAATTCCCGTTGTTTTGTGTGGCGCATATATATTGGCGCTCTCTTGTACCAATATTTATGTGTTCAAATAAATAAATAAATAAATAATCAGTACCAATTAATTTATCCGTCAACACGAGGATTTCGTAGGTCACTGATTATCCATATGCAAGGATGCGTACTAGACTATCAACTACAATTATTATATGAGCATTGGTGATACTGCTAAGTCGCAAAAATCACGATGTAAGTAGGATATTTTTATCCGTATACACATTATTTTCTAATTTACTGCTTACAGGAGCCTTATGTTCAAACTATCAAAACATATATACAATGTTCAGAGGTATTTCGAACTTAAATATCTAGATCTTACTTTTAGGTTCATGTTGTTCCCATAGCTTTAAACTAAACATACCATGATTAAGTGAACGACACGAATTGTAGGTTTATTTAAAAGGTTAAACATGAAGAATACTAGAAGTGGTAGTAACTTACAAGATAGGTTTATCGGACAATTTCACTCAATGAGGTAGTGGCTGGAAAATTCATAACCTAAACACTTGAACTATATACAAAATAGAATGTAGCGTTGCTGTGCTTTTTTAACACACTTTATAACTGGTCAAACCACAATGAAACACGTACACAGTATTGTGACAATAAGGTTACTTGAGCTACAAATCAACCCACCTTCAAGAAAGTCTATACGAAGAGAGTTGTGCACAAAACAACCTATATATATATATATATATATATATATAGGTTTTAATCAACATTTTCATTTCTACCTTTCTTTTACTGAATGCAAAACACTGGTACACGTTTCACTTACATGAATTTGTAAACTCAATATTACGATACGTTTAAAACTACTGCTTACGTCTCCCTTGAGAATTTTAGTATAACCTTTTGTAAATACGTTTATTTGATACGGCAAACAGTAACAAAGTGTTTTTTGCTGAATGATATTTCTCTCCATTTCGAGAAATTCGACACAACTTAATTACTGAATACAACTCTATGTTTGCGACTGGTTCGTACTGTTTGCGTGATGAATGATGATCCTAGTCGGTTGCCCAAGCCAAAGTAGGTAGGGAGAGATTAGAATATAATATGAAACATTATCTAATTTAAATTTCTGAATGTACACATTGATGAATAGGAAATAGACTGACCTGCTCACTTAATGATAATAACTTTCCAGTTTTGCGGAACCACTGACTCTCAACATTACCAGTGGTTGAGAACGCCCAACAAGAGCCACACATTCCTTGATTTTTTACTTCAGTTACAGCGCCTTTTTCTCTCCAATCGAAGTTTTTTGGTATATTCTTAACCTCCTTTTCCAGAGAAATTGGTGTATTATTTGTACTAGACGACACTACCCAGGAAGCAGTTAGATGAGTGCGTGCGAATTCATCAGCTAATGATAATTACGATTACTAGGAAATGTATACTAACTTGTTAAGTCTGAATAAGGTGTCACTCCATAAATGGCTGAACCTCTTTCGAATACCTGATACAATTGAGCTTTCAAGATATTCGATTTGAAGATATTAAACCTAATCTCGTCTTCTAAGCAGAAAGGTATTAATTTCCAAATTTTATATGAAATTACCTGTCTCATGATACTGTTTTCTATATGTTAACTTAAATTGTGCATATTTCTCCTCCACGTTTGCAGGCAACTTAAAGCCTAAGTACTGAAAAATAAAGCATAAAAGTAAAAAAGAAATAAGGTTTTTATCCGTCGAAGTACTAACCAACAGAAAAACAAGGAACATTGTGATGTAATCGACATTCCTCTACTTTTTACCAGTTTGGCTAGAGAAAATTAACCGCTTGCTAAACTCCTGATACTAATAACCAATGACTACGTGATTTATGTTTTGGTATGCCGCTCACACTGAATGCATTTAATTAAGGCACTCTCATGGCTCAGAAGTAAGACGGTTTATTTAACTCCTGTGGGTCCGTCCCTGGAATCGGTCCTTAAACATAGACTGTCTAACACTAGACAAAATAGACGTAATCGAACGTACCTACTCAAATACTTACCTACCCCTGTTACCCCTCGTGGAGGAGCATAGGTCGTCCACAAACATTCTCCATCCAACTCTGTCCTAGTCAATCCTTTCTAGTTGTTTGCAATCGCTATTCGTCCTTCAGATGCTTGCTTCCGATTCCCAACGCAATGTGTTCGTTGGCCTGCCCCTTTTACGTTTACCTTCAGAATACCAAGTTAGCGCTTGCCTCGTGATGCAGATTGTTGATTTCCGTAATGTATGTCATATCCACTTTCAGCGTCTTTTCCTAATTTCCTCTTCAGATGGAAGCTGGTTTGTTCTCTCTCACAGTAGGCTGTTGCTGGTGATATTCAGTCAGCAGATATTCAATATCTTGAGTAGACAACCGTTTATGAATACTTGCATTATTGTGGCGATGGTTGGGTATTTTTCGAAGTTTCAGCTCCGTACAGAAGAACTGTCTTGACGTTCGTATTGAAGATTCTCACTTTGGTATTGATTGACGGTTGTTTTGAGTTTTATATATTCTTCAACTGTAGGAGTGCTGTCCTTACTTTGCCAATCCTTGCCTTTACGTCTGCATCGGACTGTACACGTTCATCGATGTTGCTGTTCAGGTACGTGGAAGATTCCACATCTTCTAGAGCTTCTCCATCAAGTGTGAATTGGTTTGTGTTCTCCGTGTTGTATTTGAGAACCTTGCTTTTTCCATTGTGTATGTTTAGGCCTACTGATGCGGAGGCTGATGCTACACCAGTTGTCTTAATTTGCATTTGTTTGTGTGTATGGGATAGAAGAGCCAGGTCATCTGTGAAGTCCAAATAGTCTAGTTGCATGCAAGCTGTCTATTTTATTCTCTGCTTCCCGTCAGATGCTGAGGTCTTCATAATCCGGTCGACCATCAGAGGAAATAGAAAGGCAGAGAGAGTAAGCAGCCTTGTCGACCTATAGAACATATATCTGATATTTGAAATGGTGTGACTGATAGTGCGTTTAATTCATTTGGCTGAATTACCTGAAATTATGAAAAATCCGAGGAACAGATCACCTCTATATGTTTGATAAGGTGTAATTACTATGAATTATCTGCAGAATAAAAACAATTTTATTATGCACACTGCCGAGGAGACTCATACTAGGACAAAACGACCGTCCAGTACTTCCAGGTTCTCCATGGTGGTCCAGCTTTAATTGACACATGAATCCAACTATTAGATATTTCATAATTATATTGTCTATCATAAAGTAATTTTATAAGAATAAACAGCCGTCGAAATATATGTTGGTGTGTTGATGTCGACAATACTACTAAGTGACAAAATTTGATACAAATACATTCTATTCAGTGAAATGAAAAGTTGATGACGCAAAGTAAACGAAGTTCACTGAATACGTTGTTGACATGTTTATATGCTTGGCGTTAAGCCAGAAGTTTTATGAGGACTAGTAAGACTTCGAAGGTGTCTAAACCAATGACAGGAAAGTAAGTGAACAAACAACCTAGTGGTTAAATTTAAATTTGTTTAACTACTATATTCCTGTACCAATATTTATCTGAATTTTCTTGGTATGTATGTTATCTAGATCATACGAGGTACTTTATATGAGTAAATACAATACCATCTAACTACTTGGAAAAGGGTGGTTTATGGGAGAAATAAACGGAGAAATATTTAATATTCGTTGAGCAATTAAAAATTTTATCAGCATGAGACATACAGTCAATCCTCGGTAGGACTATATTTTATGGACGACCTTTAAACGAATTTTTAAGTGACCTTGAAACTATTAGCCAATCAGAAGAGAGTTAGTATAAAGTGAAAACATTATAAAAAGCTTATGAATTACAACGGATATTCTTCTTTTACATGATTTAAAAACTTGTTAAGGTTAGATAAAGGTTCAGATGTCCTGAAATCATAGCGCACGGGTTAGGGTTCAGGGTTTAGGGTTAGGTTAAGGTTATGGATAGAGTTTAGGGTTAGGGTGCATATCTGCGAAAGCCGCAGCCAATGTTACTGGTGACTTCATAATCCAATTTGCAACAATTATCATGATTTGCCTTAGTCTGAGTAGTGATCGAGCAAAGAAAGTGCCAGCTCGAGCAGATTTTATCTTCTAACATATAGTACAATGAAATCTAATGTCATCACGGTAGTCTGCACATCGTGCTGCAGTCAATTGATTGCCAGTCACAGATACAGGAACTTCTTAATAGTCCCATTTGTTGTAGTCGCTTCTGATTGGCTCGTCTATAAATTAGTCTTACCCAATCCTCTATCTCTGATTATCGTTACACAAAAGATGCTTTTTCTAATTATTACACTTTCGACACACATTAGCAAAAGTTGGTAAACCTTCCGGTTTATAAAAAGTTGGGCGCTGATGTGTAGCATAAAAGCTTGATTTAATATAAAATTCGTAACCCACATATGCTGGTTTCTTTCATATAAACCCCACGTGGAATATACAACTTGATTTAGATAGTCTGGTTTTTCGCGGCAAACTATTGATATCACTTGTCTTACTGTCGCTCAGAAACGCAAATTACACAAACATACCACCTACAATGACAAGTTTGCTTATCGTGAATAAAGCAGTTTCAAAAGATTATACTGCTAGGGACTTTCAGATGTATTTCTGGCATGATATGAATACTGATATAAAACTAAACCTCAGAAAACATGAATTTAACAAATAATTACCTCAAGGTTTACAGGCATTCTCGGGACAGCAGATCGACAACCTTCAAGGTACAACGTGCTATCATCATACAGTAGACCCTTTCGAAAGCTTAAAACGAAATCGCATTGTTGATACTAAACGTATTAGAGCACTTATTCAAGTTCAACATACTCCATATGCTTTCAACGAGCAAGGTCCCAAGTGCGCGATAGATATATATTCCGCTTGGTATTTGGGGCAAATAGTGGGGGCCAACAAAACAGAGAAACGATATCTATAACCCCTTGTATTCTGTGAGAAAAATGAGATATTTAAATTCGAGGATACAGTTTGTAATGTCTGGTTAGCGTCAAATGCCACATATCTGTAGGGCTCGCTTGAATATTGGTTATAAAACGTCACCAACGTAGGAATTAGACGTCCTAGGGGTGCATCACTCAATTCGCCTTCGAAGTGTTCATTGTAATAAAGCAGGTCATCTTTTCCACCAATCAAAAGTGCTAACAAAACAGAGAGAGAAATCATACCAGACTATATGAGACGACCCACTGGAACGGACCCACTGACCTTGTCAGAGGTCGAAGTTCGAACTAAGATTTTCAACTACGATTGATTATTCAGATTCAGATTTGTGTAGTAAGGACAGAAGGTATAGTATTCTAATTATAGTATGAATTAGGAATCCCAGGATTAACGCAATTGAATTAAGAAGACACAGGCACAACGAATGTACTGTATTTAGAATTCGAAATCGAGCATTCAACAAGTACAAAGGTATCATTGGTTCATTCAAACACCACATCCGCCACAGCTTAAATTGGAGTCTAGGTGTTTGTAATCAATCGTACGTCTTCTTCTCAAATTCATCCTCAGTCTGTCTGACATTGTATTGGATAAGGATTCTGTATTATCTAGAATATGCTCATTAGCATTAGAATTAACAATCGAAATTGGAACTGACTCACCTGGTTCCTGAAATTGTATTTGATCTACATGTCGACTGTGTGTACTTAAGTCATCAATGTCTAGAATTCGCACCATCGATTTTCCGACATTCTTCAGAACAATACCCGTAGATGGTCGAAGATCATTTCCTCGATAGTATGTAACCTCTGCAGACTCCAGACATCTCATATTCGACCGAAGAATTCTTCCTTTCAATAGCTTCGCTGGAGTCTCCTTCGTCACCGAATGTTTGGCATTTCTATATTGCAATAGAAAGGTATCTACTCCCCTCTCCAGCTCATTAAATGTTGAGGGGGCTATAGAATCAATAGCAGTCTTTAATGTCCTAACAAAATTCTCTGCCTGACCATTAGAACACGGATGTCTGGGAGCAGTAAATAGATGTTTGCACCCTATACCGTTCAACCAGGTAGTGACTGCATCTGCAGCAAAATGTGAGCCATTATCAGTCACCAACACCAAGGGAACACCTTCTCGACTAAACACCTTTCTTAATGCTTGTATTGTGAAATCAGAATTTGGTGAAGTTGTGAAAAAAACTTCAGGCCACTTTGAAAAAGAATCAATGACTACTAGTGCGTAGTATTTACCAAGAAATGGTCCACAATAGTCAGCATGAATCCTCTGCCAGGCCTCAGACGATACTGGCCATGGCACCCACTTCGAAGGATGATTTTTCAACTGATGACATTTCTCACAATTGTTTGCCGTACGACATATATCTGCATTTATCTCTGGCCACCAGCATGTGAGCCTTGCCAAGGACTTCATTTTCTCAACACCTAAATGACCACTATGAAGATCTTCAAGAACAGATTTACGCAATGAAGGAGGAATGACAACACGATCGTTTAAACACAGAATACCATCAGGAGTAGTAGATAACTCATCCCGCTTTGAAAAATAGATAGGAAATCTCCGTTTCAAATTAGCATTCCAACCTTTCCTTATAGCACTGAGTATACATCCAAAATATCTACGAGTTTCTCTAATGAGATCTGAACGTCTCACTGGTAAAGGTTGCACTAACAAACAATCCGAAGTATTAATAGGTTTATCTTGTAATGACTGTCGAGAAATGTAATCAACATGTTGAATCTGTTTGGCACTTCTGTGCTGAACCGTATAGTCATATGCACTCAAAGCAATACTCCATCGCTGAACCATAGCTGCTGAGGAACGTGCTAAGGATTTTTCGGGATGATAAATAAACTTTAAAGCTTCATGATCAGTAACAATAGTGAATTTCCTTCCGAATAAATATTTATGAAGTCTTTTAACAGCCCAAAACACAGCTAATGCTTCTCGCTGAGTCTGTGAATAACCTTGTTCAGTAACAGTAAGTTTGCGTGAAACACAAATAACTGGTCTACCTTCCTGTTCCAAAACTGCACCAATTCCCACAGGTGATGCATCAGTAATAAGCACAGAATGTACATTAGGGGAGTACGTTCGAAGAACAGCATCACTTTGAAGAAACTTCAGCAGACTTCGTAAGCATGACTCTTGTTCCTCACTCCATTTGAATGAATTTGATGTTAAAATATTAAATAAACAATTTGCACGACAAGAAAAATTAGGAATAAAACGGGAATAGTATTGAAGAGCACCCACTAGTGAACGTAATTCTGTAAGATTTTTCGGAGACGGTGCATTAGTCAGTGGAGCTAGTCGTTTCATATCTGGTCTAAAACCATTACCATCAACTAGGTATCCAAGGCATTCAAAACTAGATACACAAAATGAACACTTATTTGGATTCACTGTTATATTCTTCTCAATTAAACGTCGCAATAAAGCAATAAGTCTCTGGTCATGAACCACCTTATTAGAGCCATGAACAATGAGATCATCTTGATAAACTTCAACACCTTCAAGATCACTAACTACTTTATTCATAACTTCCTGAAATATGGCTGGAGAACAACTTAGACCAAATGGAAGGAAATTGTATTTGAACAGACCAAAAGGAGTGTTAATTGTCGTCAAAATAGATGAAGATTCATCTAAAGGAATTTGAAGATAAGCATCTTTTAGGTCAACTTTCGAGAACACTTTAGAACCATGAAGTCGATTTAGAATATCTTCAGCTTCTACCGTCGTGCACGTTTGCTTCAACAAACGGGAGTTCAGAGTTAATCTATAGTCACCGCAAATTCTAGGGGTCTTGCCGTCCGACTTCAGTGGCGTAACGATAGGAGTACCCCATGCTGAAGACTGGATTGGTTCAATTATGCCTTTCACACACAAATCGTTTAATGTCTTATGTACTGCTTCTCGAAGACCATAAGGAATTATTCGTCTTTTAAGAAAGACGGGATCACCCTGTACTTGAAGTTTTATAGGCTTAATTTTCATACCTCCACTGCATTTAGCACACATAGCTATCAAATCTTTAAGTAAAGTATCAGAATTTTCTTTAGAAACTAAGAAGGACAACTCCACCTTAAGCCTTTTCAAATTCTTTAAACCCAATATTGACAGTCCTGTTTCGCTAACTAAAAATTCACAAGGTATGTATGAAGAATTATCATCTCTGATTAGCAATTCACAACATCCTCGTATGGGCAGTCTGTGTCCAGTAATCCCCAGTATTGATACTTCAGTGGGTCGTACAACAACGTTAGGATCTAAAGCTTTCAAGTTCTTGAATGAAATAATGGACTCTATACTGCCTGTGTCCAGAATAAAGTCATGAAATGAACCAAGCGATGTATATAATCGCTTCTGAATATGAGCATTACCTTTCGAAATAGTGGACAAAGACAAATGATCACTAGAAACATCCGAATTATTGAAATTTAAATTACAAGATTTAGTACAGCTCGAAGCAAAATGGACAGTAGCTTTGCATACTGACTGAATGTGTCCTACCTTACCACATTTAAAACATTTAGCATTACGAAATACACATGAATTGCGAGCATGAAACTTTCCACATGATAAACATTTACCAAACTTCATCTCACCTTTGTGATTTGCTTTGTAATTCCTCGTTGAAACACCTTTCATATTTACACGAGAATAGGAATCACTGTTAAATGAACGCAAGTTTGATTGACCCTGAGATTGTAGTTCATCACGACGACTAAGCAAAGTATTAGAAATGTTCATCGACTGGATATCAAGTTCATTGACTGCTTCGTAGTTAATACATGCAGTTCTAGCATCTTGAAAGGAACAGTTTGGCATTCTTAACAGCTCTCTTTCCAAACTCGGTATGTTAATTCCTGCAATTAATCGATCTCTCAATTGCACATGAAGTTGATCACCGAAATTACACTTGGCAGCTTGTTTCTGTAATTCAAGGATGAATTCCCGAACCTTTTGGTCATTTTGACGAACCATCTTATGAAACTTCGCCCTTTCACGGCATTCAAAACTGGTGCATTTTACATGACTTAACAATAGCTCTTTAAGAGTTGCATAAGGCAGTGAGATAGGTTTTTCTGGATATGCCAAAGTTTTTAATAAGCTGTACGCTTCTCTCCCAATGAATGTCAGAAAATGTGCCACAATTTTCTCACCTTTAACATCTTTCTTGGTCATGCTCCAAATTTCGAACCTTTCCAAATAATCCTCAATAGCTTCAGGAGTTGAATGAATATCTAACTTTTCCATTGCAGGCTCCATCGCGACGCCAATATAGTATTCGAATTATAGTATGAATTAGGAATCCCAGGATTAACGCAATTGAATTAAGAAGACACAGGCACAACGAATGTACTGTATTTAGAATTCGAAATCGAGCATTCAACAAGTACAAAGGTATCATTGGTTCATTCAAACACCACAGAAGGCCTACGGCCTTTGTTATTCCTTTTCTAGTATGCTTCTGTGAGTGTCCAGTCTTCTCTTGAAAGAGTCAATTGAAGGTGCGGACACCACCGCTTCAGGCAGCAGGTTCCAAGTATTGACGACTCGGTGTGAAAACCTGTATGTCACGGGTATGTTGTTCGTTCTTGGCTTTTCTACTCGCCTGCTATGTCCTCTGAGGTGTCTCGATCTAGTGGGAAGAAAGAGAGAGAATAAATTAGGTCCGAAATCATTTCTCAGTATTCTGTACATCAAAATTAGATCTCCCCTTAGTCTGCGATAGGACAGAGTAAAGAGGTCCAGTTTTTCAAGCCGCTCTTTGTATGATAAACCCCGGAGTTCCGGAATTGGGCGTTAATTAAAACTTAAGTCACCTGGGGTTCGAATAGGTGAATTTTGTGTTTTTTCGATATTGAATTGTCAGGGTTTGCAAGTAGTTCTTAGTTAAAAGGAGTTACATATTCTTCAGTCTTCAATAGTTTTGACAGATCTCTCGACTTATATTAAACACTGCAGTACGCATCACTGTGAACATCGATCCGATCTCGCTTTGGACGTAACAACAGAAGGTTCTGATATTACGTGTTAGAGAACTCTCGTAACACTATTCTATGTTAGAAATGAAACGCCAGAGATAGACGATTTCTTTTCGGTTTCAGAACACTGATAGAATGCCTCCTCAAGCGATTAGTCCTAGACGGAGGGAAACGACAAGACATAATAATGCCAAATTCATCGCTTAATATACGGTTTTTAATGACAAATCACCCCGTACCTGAGGCAAAATGACGGAAACAGGTTAAGTCCTCTTGGTCTGTCTTTACAGGACAGGTTAGTAAGGTTATTCACCCTTGTTC